GATCGTAGGAATGAAAGGTTGGTTACTTCCAATTTCGCTTCTCTTTTCTTTCCTCCTTTCTTTTCCTTATCCTCTCCATTTATCTTTCTCACTCTATTTCGTGTTCTGATATATTCCATGTATACATTAATTTGTTTGATCTCGATGCTTGTATCCTGAAGTTTCACGCTTTCCCCATACCTGGTGCGAACAGCTTGTGAAACTTCGGTGATAACGGACCTCGCTGCATGTCGGCTTCGACGCGCTCGATGTGAACAGTGCTGCCCTGGATTGACAAATCCAGTTTGTTGATGAGGTCCATCCCGATCTTTTACGTACGGCGTACAGTGTTTGTTTGTTTGATTGATTTTATTTCTGCGTTCAAAAATATACAAATTCAAAGTCAAAGTACAAAATTTCGAACAATAACAAATACAATGAATACAATGTTTACAAAAGTAATTAAATGAAAAATCATGTACAATTATATCATTCGATAAACATGTACGAAGCATACAATAACATAAGAAATATGAAATATTTTCAATAAATTAGAGAGGTAATTTGGAACGCAGGAGACCACCATCGTGAGCGGTTAGGCTGGAGATGGATGGCGGCCTCGTAAAAAGAATTGGCGACATAACTCTCTTCGAAAAACTGAGTGATCAAGAGGGTGCGGTGCAAGTGCAGGTGCAGTGAGCAGTTGCATGATAAAGAATAAATAAGTCACGGTTTTGTTATACTAATTTAAAGAGAGGGGAGCATATGATTGTATTATTTGTCGTTTAAGTGTAGCTTTTAAGGAGTAGATGGTTGAACAAGACTTTATGTTGTCGGGTAAATCATTCCAAATGTCCGGGCCAGAATGTCTAACAGATTTGTGTGTTATTGATAATTTGGGGTTTGTAAGATGGAAGTTTCCAGATATGCGAGTAGAGTATGAATGAACGGAATTATTAAACCTAAACATGTTATCAAAGGATGGTGGAAGCAGATTATTAATGTACTTAAACATAATAACTGCTACTTGAGTAGTGTTCAGATCGATTTTTTTTAGTGTTTTAAGTTTATAGAATAAAGGATCAGTGTAAGCTAAGAAATTCGAACCTGTACAAATACGTATGGCTTTCTTTTGCAGTTTGAAAATAGAATTAATTTTTGTCGAACCACAATTTGCCCATACACTATTACAATATGTTATATACGGGAGAACTAGCGAATTATATAGTAGGAATAAGGTTGCATGGGGTAGAATAAACTTTAACTTGGAGATTATTCCAATACTTTTGGAAATGCACATTGTAACTTGGTGTAAATGAGCATTCCAAGTCAAGGTTTCATCTATAAGAACACCCCAAAACTTGGAATTAGTTTTCTTCTCTAGTAGCATACCATCGATTTTAATATATATAGGTGTTTCTGTATTATGAGAATGATGTTTAAAATACATGAAATGAGTCTTTTTTGTATGAAGTGAAAGTTTATTGGATTTAAACCAATCTGATACTTTGTTTATTTCATAATTCAAAGTATTTTTTAACGAATTAAGGTCTTGATGGGAATAAAAGATATTTGTATCATCGGCAAATAAGATAAAAGAAAGAAGGGGGAATGTATTGATAATATCATTTACATAAAGAAGAAATAACAGTGGACCTAAGATGGAGCCTTGAGGAACACCGCATTGAATTAAAAGAGGATCAGAATCATAACTATTAAATGTAACATAATTTATGTAGCATCGGCTTGTCGAGTGCCTTCTTTGACGGACGTGTGCAGAGCACCAAGTACTGGGAAGTCAACTTGAACGTAGTTGGGTAACATTACTCTAGTTGGCTGAAAGGCTTCTTTGACGGAATGTCTCTCGAAGACGGTCTGTGGGATGATGGACACACCCGATCCGGTATTCCGGCGAGCTAAACTCTGCATTTGACTGAAGTTATAGGCTATCAGTTTACTGTCAAGACTTTATTTGTAACGTCTTGAACTTCCCCGACCAGTATAGGCCTATCAATTAGGGCGAAAGTCATCTCATACTCTGCCAGCACGAGTTTTCTTCTTGATTTTCGATGAGACACAGTGGCGTATCCAGGACCTTGGCCTCGTGCAGGAGGGGTAAAACATCTTAGCTCATTGTGATCCATATACTTTTCATCCAGAATTCACTTTTTGAGTGCCTTGTGTGGTTTGCTGTCACCGATCGAGGGAGCTAGGGGGGTATTACCCAAAATGACTTTGAAAATATGATTATGGCGACTGCATCCCCCCTTTTTTGACTTACAAATATTTCCTAACCTTCTAACTATAGGTTATGAATAGTTCCAGCATTTCCTTTTCTTGGTCGGCAATCTGTCAGGAGGGGTTACCCCTCCCCTCTGCTTGCCCCTCCTTTAAATTAGCTAGTGATGAGGCATTTAGTAATTATTGAATAAAATGTTATGTATGCACTGGCTTCAAGAATGCACCACCAGAGACTGTTACCTTGAAGAAAAGAGTTGATACTGCTCACTGAATATCGGAATATGTGTGGGGATATTCTAGAAAGATACGCTCCCCGCCCTCCCCCCTGGTAGATTTACTACCTTGACTTATTAATCCTGAAAGATCTCCTAACTACAGCACATATAGGTAGAATGGTATCATGACCTTGACAATTTATACTGCCTAAGAAAAGCTAGAAAATGCCTGTACATTGTGACATCATCATTTTGCGGAGTGAAAATTAATCGAACGCGAATCGAGTAAAGAGCGTCGGCGAACAATAATTATCGTCAATTCCATTTGCGATTCAGTTCAGACGTCAGACGGGCGGATGACGATTCTTCCATCGTGGCCTTAAGGTGCTGTCTTTGTGTCATCTCCCTTTTGATGTTGTTTTCTTCCAATGGCACTTACCTGCAAGCTAGCCAAAGACAGTTGGTAGCATACACTCAGCATGAAAATCTTGGCATGCATCATAGGGAGACAGGTTTAGCATCAATATTGTGGAGCATTTTACCATGGTAATGAAAATGGTGGATACTTCTTTTTTTGTCGCCATTCATTGTCAGGTTCTATCCCTTTAAGATTATTATACGGAATGATGTGTCGAAAGGCGGAAGGAAAGGTCTTCTCGATTAATCAGCCCTCAGCTCCCGCCAATGCGCGCCAGTATGTGTTTATGGTAAAAACTTAAAAGGATAATGTTAAGAGAAAATGTTTGCATACAAAATTTATTACAGTCATATTAATCTCTCTCTCTTGCTGTATGCGGATATCTTCGTCCATCTGCATTCTCTCTCATTCTCTCTTTTTCTCTCATATGTTTTCCTCTTCCCCTCTCTTTCTACCCCTCTCTCTCTCTCTCTCTCTCTGTCCCTCTCTGTGTGACTTTGTCTCCTATGCATTCCCACTCTCTTTTCCCATTCTCCTGTCCGTTCCTGATCTCTGTTCACCATGTCGGTTACTTAAAAGGGTCAATCAAATTTGTGAATAATGAAATTGATGTAAAATTTAGACTGAATTCGATGTGAATCAAAATTTATTTGGTAAGCAAAATAAAAGTATTTACAGTACCACACGAACGTTTGACTTGCTACCGTATTGCTGTATATTGTCTTATAAACAGAAAAAGATAAATGATCTACATGTAGTATAGTTTCAATCCAATTCAATTCAGCATTGAAATTAAAGAATAACATACATACGTGCACGTTGAATAATACATGTACTGTACAAAATATCAATCTTGCTTGGTAGGTAGCAGCCAGAAAGGAAGTGACCTTTATAAGTGGGCGACCTAGAGAAAATATAATTAACATTTAATTACATGTACCAGATTATTAAGACATGACAAAACACAACATTCCTACCAGAAAAAATACACATCACATTGCATGACATAAAATTACAGATCAATGAAATGAAGAAGAAAAAAGTTCGTGTAAAGATTAATATTTTGCAAGAATAACTGTTATATGTTTTAATTCATTTTTGTATGTTTGTTTTGGTATTCACTTTGAATTCTTCAAGGTTAGTCATTATCTTGATTTGAAGCCGTGTTAATAAACTCTCTGAAATATCTTTCTTTAACAGACTTCTTTAGTTGCTGTTGATAAAGTAGCAAACCGTGACGGAAAATCGAAGTAATTACCCCATACTCACAGTGACACAGACTCCTCTTACTTGCACAGCCGAAACGATACATCGGGCCAGCGTTTCATCAAACCGTCATTAGCACAAGTTCACCGAAATCCAGTTGAAATGCGTGTATTATAGTCAAAACGCGTTTAGGAGATGTAGGTGAACTTGTACTTATGACGGTCTCGTGAAACGACGCCCAGACCGACCAGTGACCGAACAAGGAATGGCATTAATACAGAGAATGGAAAAGAAATGGTCGATTTGGAAAGGTCTGTGAGGTTGTTTTGGAGTCGGTTCGGCGGTGTGACTGCAGTATCACGGTCTCATATGGGGGTGAAATAATGAATTACAACATTGAAACATATAGGTCGTTCATGTAGGGCCACTCTTTATAACGGAAGGGAGGTAAAGGAGTTTATTATTGACAATAAAAACCAAATCAACTGCCAATTACCGATTGCATTGCCTAGTAATAATCAAAGATTAAATAAGACAGTCAGCATTTCATAATTATATTTGTGTATAGCGAGTTCAGTTCACCCGATATATAGAGTTAAGAATAAAATACATGTACATAGTATAACGCCATGATCTAATTCTAATTCTGTTAGATTAAATGTGAGCAATGACTTATAATTTGAAAGAGACAAAGACAAATAAGAAGTTATTGATATAACAACATTCTGAAATGAACAGGTGTATACTAATGTACACTCTTTCCCCCAAAAAAGGGATGTATAATAAAAGGGGAAGTACACTTGACATCACGTTGATAAAGAAACATAAGAAACGGGAAATAAATCTAAAAAGATAAGAAGAAATTAATGTAGTTGTAAAGCTTTTAAGCTCCTTTTAGATACGCAACTCTAATTGCGATCTCCTCTACATTGTTTTATATGGAAAATTTCCAAAGAATATCTTAATTTGTTTTATATACAATTTTGATGAGCCCCTATAGGAACATGTAACAATTTTATATTTCGGCCACATACAAGTATGACAAAGAAAATGAAGGAAGATGTTTAATGATATCTTTAGTACAAAGTGAACAGAGAGTAGCTATAAAATCACAACTTTTCAGATTTTTCTAAAACGTATAAAGACCATTTGCTCTAAATGGAAACACAGACAAAACGAAATATCTGAAAAAGAAAAAAAAATCTGATATTTCCGACAACTTCAATGTTGTTTCTTCCATGTATTTTGCCAGACGGAAGGTAAAAATGGAAAACAAAAAGTATCATACTACAGTTCATCAAATTGAAAAGTAAACCCTTATTTTTACGACTGGTTTATCAATACTTCTGCAACATACAACATACAATCAATAGGTCGAACTTCATTGTATTAAACAGCAATACGATCACATAGTTTCCATAATTAGGATTATTATCTCCTACTGTAAAATAATCTTTTAGTCCACAATCAAATTAAGTCTACATCATTTGTATATTTACAACACCTACCAAAATTCAGATTCGCATGTAAATTAATTATCAACGACAAAATCTCGAAAGATTAACAAGTCAGAAATATATCAAAAGAAAGGTTAATATTTATTTAAGAAAGGTTCAATCATTCACATTGATCTTCATTTCACCCAAACTCCATGTCACCTAGTCCAAGATTTAACTGATGCATTTGGATTTTATATAGAAACACAAGGCCTATTTGAAGCTTTTGAAATAGGGGGCGGGCATGGGCCCGTTTTGTTTAACGAAAAAAGATGTTATTCTTCATTTTTCAGTATTCTCGTTTTATTCTAAAAATATGTCCGGTCGCACACACCCCCTCCCCCTCTACTGGCCTAAGGTTATCAGTGTTATCATACAGGGCAAGTAAGGCTGACTCATCCATTATTTCCAGTGGAATATATAGAGTCTATCAGGAGTGCAGAAAGCGATCTCTCCTGATTGGTACTGCTGCATAAAGTACCAGTTTCTTTCAGGCTTCTCAATCTTGTAATCAATGACAAGTTTCTGGACATGCTTCAGCTCGTTAGTGTACTCATCGATGCTGACCAAACCTACATCGTGATTGACCTTGGCTATCAGGATTGTATTTCCTTGAGACACAGTGGCGTATGGGAAATAACCTAATTCCCTTAATTCATATTTTACAACTCCTTCTTTATCAATCAATCGTATTGCATCCCAAGATCTGGTGACTAGGTAATCATTATAACTAGTAATCTGCTGAGGTTCATACCCATCACATGGTATTTCCCTGATCGCCTTCCCACCTGCTGGTGAGAATACCTGGATCTTCTGAGCTTTCCAGTAGCTGACATAGATCTGATCATCACCGCCTACATTGAGAATGGCCCATTCACCTTCATCGTTATACAGAGTCTCAAACACGACATTCAACTTTGTGTACTGTAGTCTGTACAGTGAGATATTGTTTGAGCAATCGAGTATAACATACCGATCATCAGAGAGGAACCCTACTCCACGAATCTTAACACCCTTGAGAACTGTCTGCTGGAGCTGGCCATCAGCAGAGAAGATCTCCACGCCACCCGTGTCACATCCCACTGCCATCCTACCGTCTGGTGTACCAACCATTATATTCATGCTATTCTTAGTGGGCAAAGCGATGTTCTTAAATGCAAATGCATTTGCAATCTTACCGAGAGCTAGCTCGTCCATTCCAACGTTCCTCTTGAAACTGACACTTTTTCCTTTTCTGCTCAATTGAATCGACTGCTTGTAGTCAGGATCTTCTTGTTTCAAAGCCTCTTGTAAGTCTTGACATAGAGTGTCGTGGGCAGCCAAAGCATCTGTATCTAACGGTATCTTTGTTCTATTGGTTACCACGTCAGCTATGGTGGTGAAATGAGTGATGTGCTCCTGAGCCGATTTCTTAATTTCGTCCAGTTCTTTCTCTACTCCTTCAGTCCTACCCTTGACTTCACCAATAAGGACTTCTTTCTTCTTTGTCAACTGCCGGACTGATTCTTCATATGCTTTGTTGATATCATCTGTGCACTGCTTCTGAACATTGCTCACATGCTCCTTCTGTTCATCAATGAAATCAATGTATTTCTGAAAGCAAGAGCGTTTCTTGTCTGCCTTGGATTTGAGGTCCTCGATACTCTTCACATGGTTGCTTTCATAAACAGCTGCCTCAATGACCCTATGTCCTTCGTTTGTATGCTCCATGACAACACACTTGAAGCAGGCAAATCTCCTGCAGTCGGAACAGAACCACTCCTCATCATCTTTGGGGTGTTTCCTGCATTTACGGTACCTACGTACTGACACCTTGCCTGATACGATCTCACTCATGGCTAAGACATCGTGACTGATGAAGTCTGGCCACTGAGAGTGTTTGTTGTGGCAAGTGCTACAGAAATACTTGCCACAATCTTGACAGTAGACAACAGCTTGGGCCTCCTTGGATTTACAATTCGTGCAAAATTGGTATTGATTCTTTACGTCCTCTATGAGAGACTTCAAAGCTAGATTTGCCGGTAATTTGCTGACATCCTGGTTTGGGACCTGGGTTTCAGCTCTGCAGACAGGACATCGGAGCATCTGGTCGTTACCATGGCAATCCAAGAGGTTGTCCAGACAGGTCTTGCAGTAGGTGTGAGAACAAGACAGGATCTTTGGATCGGTGAAGGTATTCAGACATACAGGACACTCCAGACTCTGAGCAATAGCATTCTTTAATGCATCAGCCATGATTCGAATTCTACAGGAATACGAGATAAAAGAAAAGGAAAACACACAGCGATTAGCTATTGAGCTTTTATTCAGATCGTATAAAAGAGGGAGTGTTTATCATTTTTCTTACGCCTTTTCCCTACAGAATAAAAAAGTACGAAATATGATATTCCGTAATATCTTGACAAAAAAATATATAAACAAAATAATAATAATTAAACATATATAGCGCATAACACATAGGCAAATTGCATGTCACTATGCACTTTAAGAAAAAGAAAAAAAAATGCACTGGGTTCATGATTCTGATTATTTATGAAGTTGTGAAGTAATTTGTCTTCAGAGAATTGATAAAGGTTTTATAGGATCCACATTTCAGTTGTTCAGGCAACTTGTTCCACAAAAAACGGCTGTAAGATATGAAAAAGACCTTTCCCCGTATATGACTTTCTCATGGTTTGTGGAACACAAAGCAGAGACTTGGAACTGGAACGTAGCTTTCTATCTGGTTTGTATGGAGTTAGCAATTCGGTAAGGTAAAAAGGAGCTAGTTAATGTAAGCATTGGTAGGTTAATATAAGTACTTTAAACTGGATATAATAACTCATGTTATTCATCAACTGAATGTAATGACAAATAAATAAAAAAATAAAAAAATGTTTCCTTTGTCGCTCTTCAGTCAATGTACATTGTAGTTTGGGAAATTGATGATAATACTACTACTACTTCTACTACTAATAATAATGACGATGATGATGATGATGATGATGATGATGATAATAATAACTCTGATAATAATTATATCAACGATAAAAAGAAAATCATTATAATAATGATGATGCCTTGTTCATCAACTCGATCCTCATCAGAAGACATACTGTTCTTCTCCGTCGAGCGAAATAAACTTGCTTTGGAATCTCATACCAATAATATCAAACGTGCTTCAATTATCTGTCTTGAGTATACATTTGTGGACTTTTAAAGGTAATACAAAGTTTCGGGAAATTTTGAAAATTGGCTGGATAGTGATTCTTTACAATTTTGATATATTTGGATGCCCCTGTGGATGTATTATAATCAATAAAAAAATTAGCCCCTAAAACACTTCTGCTTTTGAGAAAAATTGAATATCAAAATTTACCGGTGCTCCCGATAAATTCTGATAAACTTCAAATTGCGCGTACGGCGCGCCGTACGCGGCGGTACAATGGTAGCTGCGACCATGAAAATCTCAGAATATGTAGTTGTGATATATAATTTCCAAACGGGAATAGCCAATCGGTCGATTTTAGTCAAGAAAAATTGTTTTGTGGCTTAATTAATATCTTGACCTTAAGACGGAGCTATACAACATAACGAGTTTATTATTTACAAATTCATCACTTTAGACTGGATTTCAACCGCGACAACGATCACTGGATATTAAATGATCGCATATGCTTCCAATGTGTTAATTTGAATCAATTTCATGACCCCATTCCAAAACTTTTTATTACCTTTAATTAAGAGAACATAATATCAAGTTTTACAAATTCATTAAATTCGAACAAAACAAAATATGATCCGTGAACTACCTTCAGATATGATGCAGATAAACATACCTTACCCTATCCGTTGAAATTTATAACTTGTTATCAATGGAAAGCTGAATGAACATAGAATACAAATGTAGAGGAATTCAAAATATTTTCCCTTTAAGTATTGCACAAAAGCGAATTGAAACCTTATTTTCCGCACCTCTATAAATAACAGGGGTCAAATTTGCCGCAGTTACTGTTACGACGTAATATGTGGACCCGATCGGCTCGCATATAATAAATAGCTGAGGCGATGAGCCGTGCAAAGTCATTATGAATATGCGTTCTCCACAATAGGCCAGTTATCATCAGCTCGAGATTGCCAAATAGCCCGCTATTTCTGATTTGGGAAACAATCCCAAAGTTATAAATCGCGCTTTCATCAGCTCGAGACTATAGACCACGAAACTTTAAACTCGAGCTCGAGAAATTACATGTAGCTCGAGATATTTTGCTCGGCGTTCGCGCATAGTGCGACTCTTCGGGCTGGTGAAGTCGTACCCGACAAATAGCGGGATATTTTGCCAAATAGCAGGATATTGTGCAAACTAGCCCAAGATATCTAGGGATGATTATCTCGACCAAATATCCCTCTAATCCCAACTTCGGGCTGATGAAGACGCACATTAACTGGATAATTTGCGATCGGGATAGTTCAAACAGCAGGATAGTTGGCAATCTCGAGCTGATGAAAACAAGCCAATAGATGATGTCAATTCTATTCGATGGCTAGTTTGTTTAGGTCGACAACTCCTGATTTTCAAAGCTTTAGATTTCGAGTTTTCAGAGAGCTGTTACTCGTCTGACAGGCACTTAATTAGCTTTTTATGATTCGTATTATTGTACTCTTTTAAGCTTTCCTTTGGTATATAATTCATCTATTTCATTTTGCACTTCCGACACGGTTTTTAACATTGAGTTTAGGCTTTGAACAACTTAGCAGGAAACATTTTGTATTAATTTTAAAGCTGATGAAGTTTCAAAATACTTATGCACAGGGGAACATACTATTTAACAAAAATTATCAAGCATGAAAAGAGGACATTATATTGCTCTAGTTTGGCAGAATCATTAGCTGAAATGTTAGCTTTGTTTAAAATCGCATAATAACCTGAAATATTCCCCATGTGTATTCATATCTACACAAAGTGTAAGAATAATAATTGATGGCAACTTTGTTATTAAAAATCACTACAACATACCAAAATCTTCACATTTTCCCCTAGGACAAACAAACACTGAGAAGATACATGTATACTCATGTACATATCAATACTGGTATCAATTTGCTCACAATTTTTCTAATGCGACAAATGTAACTTCCGGGTTCCCGATCAAGTACATTCAACTCTTATGGTCTGGTTTCAAAGCTCCGTTTTGTTTAGTTTTATTTGTGTAAACTGTTTCTCCATGGTTTAACAAACTGATATAATTTTGCTTAACACCCGTTATTCTCATCTTAGTCTTGGCTCAACAGGTGTCCATTTATCAACTCATAGATATCTGGACACATATCCAACTATTTCAGTCTAATGAACATGATAATTTTACAAACCAGATACATTCAAAGTCTCAAAGATGTCTGGGAGTTGGTCTATAATGACATATACGACAATTTAAAACGAAAATACTGCGAAATGTCACTGCATTTCTTTTAGAAATGACATACATGTACATTTAAATTTTACTCACGTCTTTCCCCGTCAGTACGTATCGGTCTAGTGTTATACGAAATCAGTAAACATATACTCTCAGCCTTTACAATGTAATGGTGCACTGATCACATGTGGTAATATACATGTTAGTATTTAGCTAGTCATTCTAATTTTAGTGACTGGGAATTCCCAGTAACCTGTGACCGACATCCAGATTGAAATCGCCCAATAAAACCTCGATCTCAGTATGTCAAGCGTCTGTCGGGCCGACATGTTCCCGTGTCAAACTTGAATTCTATTTCTGTTACCCCCTTCCCCCATTAAAAAAAATTGTCAAGTAAGAGTCGAATTGCTTTTGCTAAAGTCTTGTGGAGCGGTGCTCCTTCGAAATTACAGTTGGAATCAGTGGCGGAATGAGGAAAAACGTTTTTTTTTTTTTTTTTGGGGGGGGGGGGGGGGGAGGAGGTAGCAAAAAAAAGAAGATCTGCATCACACCACTCTCTTACATGTTACATGCAGGCCCCGCGGAACGTCTTTCATATGGGGGGGGGGGGGATAAAGTATTTACGATCAGGTTGAGCTAAGCGAGCGTAAATTAGCTTTGGGTCCAGGGGCAAAGCCCCGGCGGAGGTTAAGAGTCAGAGCCCCCGGAATCTCAAGGGCTTTAGTCATTTAATTACGGTCAGATGACCATATTTTGCTACCTTTAACAAGGTGACATTGCATGGCAGGTCAATAATTGACGTGGGGTCCAGGGGCTGAGGTGCTGAGCCCCATGATGAGCATTCAGGGGCCGCCTTAGGCACCTGGTTGGGTCCAGGGGGCAGAGTCCCCGGAAGCTCAAGGGCCTTGGGCAATTAATGACGGTCAGATGAGCATATCTTTTTTTTCTCAAAAAAATGGGGGGGGGGGGGGGGGGGAGGAGGGGGCTTCAGCCCCCGAGCCCAGGCAATCCGCGGACCCTGACATGTAGGCTTCTATTATGAGCATATCTTTTGCCTGATTGTAGATTTGGGAATTCGTCATTTTCTAACAAATGCATAATAAAGTTATATTTAAAAAAAAAAATGAGAACAAAATCCCGGAAAATCATGTCATTTCAGCAACATTTGTAAATCGCTGGTTAGACAAAACCCACCCACCCCTCCCATCAGTACGCAGTGGATGAAATGTTAGAGATCGCGCTTAGATCGTTAGAGATATTCGATCTTAGATCTTTACCTTTACTGGACGGACCATCGTCTGGTTGAAAAAGCTAATACGTTGTTCGACTTATTATATTTTAGGTTGTGTAGGGACTATTTTGTCTTCATGGCTTAGTCCTACAAGATGTGGGGTGGAGGGGCAGTACCTCCCTCCCCTCGAATTTCAAAATTGCTAATAACATATTCGGGCCTTGCATTAAATATTAGTCTAGGTGTTATATCAAATCCGTAAACATATTTACTCTTTGCCGTTACGATGTACTGGTGCACTGATCATGATGAGTACTACATACATGTATGTATTTAGTTCATCAATCTATCTTTAGTTACTGGGAATTCCCAGCAACCTTAGACCGACAAACAGATTGAGATCCGTCGCCCAATGAAACCTCATTCTGAGTTTGTCAAGCATAAGTGAAACAATGCCTTGAACACCAATCTGTTGAAGATACAATACAAAAACTTCTAAACGACGTTTGTGTCAGACTGGGAATCAAAACCTCAACACTTAGACTGAGAGTTAAATAAATGAACCACTCTACTACACCTCCACTACTACGACACCTATGATTACCATGCAATATGAAATGTTTACCATGTGTATTCATATCTACACAACATGTAACAAACACTGAGAAGTTATACATATTAACTGTTTCATTATGATCACAGATTTGCTAACGTGACAAACGTTACTCCCGGGGTCACGATCAAGTATATTAAAAATTATTATGGTCTGGTTTTATGGATCTGTTTCGTTTAGGGGTGTTTTGTTATTTGGCAGCCTGTTTCTGTATGGTTTAGCAAATTTGAACACCTGTAATTTTTATATCGGTCTTAGCTCAATCGCTCTCATTAAACACCTCCAAGACAACTAGACCACTGAATTATACACCGCATGTAGCAAAGTGCTCAGTGATCTAGACTCAATCTAACTATTTCAGTCTAAGTAAAATGATGATTTTATAAATCAGATACAAACAATGCCTCTAATGTGTCCGGGAGCCTGCCTAATATACATCAATGAAAAATCGAAAATATTTACTCACCTCTTTCCCCGTAACTACGTATCGGTCTAGATGTTATATGAAATCGGTAAACACGTATATAATATTTGCTTTTACAATGGACTGATGCACTGATCATAAATTGTATTATATACATATGTATTTAGTCTATTTTTAGGTACTTTGGATTGCAAGCAATCTTTGACAGACAAGCAGATTAAGATCGACCTATGAAAATTCTATCTCATTTTTTCAAGCGTCTGTTGAGCAAATATGTACCCGTGTGAATTACCCCCTCCCCCCATTACACAACACTATTAAGTTAAAAGTCAACGTACTATTGCCAAAGTTCTGGGAAAGGAACAGTTCACCTTCGAGATTACAATTGAAAGGAGAATGAAAGTAAAGAAAAATATTAAATCTTAGTCCTTTACATGTATTGGCCTATTCATCATCCGGTTAAGGGAGTTGAGAAGTAGTTCGATTTATTATAACTTCGGGTGGTTTAGGGGCTGTTTGCCTCAATTTCATAGTCGTACAAGAAATCATTATAGCTTAAGATACCTGAAGATCATTTGAACCTACATATAGTATGATGGCTACCAGGTAACAGATAGCAATGGACTGAGCAGTGTACAATAACAATACAGTATATCTCGGAATCCCAGAGAAGTATAAACTGAGTATGATCCGCACTGGGTCAATGGACTGTTCGTTATTGTAAGAACAGTGTGGCATTCTTGAAGATGACTAAAGGCTTGTTCAGATATGGCGCGGTAAGCTGCCGCATAAAAACCCTGACAGTTGTGTACATGTACATTAATGGCAACTGCTCACAACAAAGGTCCTATAAAGCGTATCCAATGAGCTATGTGTTAAAAGATAAGGGAATGTGAAGCATGTTACAGCTAACATCATCATAAAAAAGATGCATAGGCCTATCTGAACGAGACTGTCTCGCAATGTGTACCTCACCAGGTAACAGTAGACGGGCCGCTCTACAAAGATGACCTTGAGTAGATAGACCGCGTCTGATCATCATCATCTGCCCTTCTTTCTTCTCCCATTAGTTCCTCCTTGCAAGATGGTGTTTGCCAAGCTATTCTTCCATCTAGTTACATGCCCAGACCACAGTAACTATCTTCTTTTCACGATTGCGATGAGGTGATCATGTTCCCCTTTGTAACTCTCAACTATCTCTCTCTAACTTTCTTATTGTCATCCGTTGTCATACGAGGAATGTCTATACGGTAATCTTATTCTGTTTTGTTAAAGAACCGTATAACTTTGTAAACGTACAATTTGTGTATCTATCTAGTTCAACATGAACAATTTGTATATTCATGTTGGAATGCCTGTCAGTTCCCTGTAACATCATGGAGATTTTATACACGAAATTATTTAATAAAAGTTAATACGTAAATGTTACAAATGTGTTCTAGAATAAATCTGTATGTCGTATGCAAAAATTGCATTTGTCTCTTGCAATGGGTCTATACTTCTGGTGCATCCCTATTCCATTTTGATGGGGATCTGGTATTAAAGCTAAATTTGCAAACTAGTTAGTTTTCCCAACAATTTTCTAATAATCAAAGAAAACAATACTCAGATTTTAACATTTGTCAAGAATGAAGGCAAGAAGAAAAAATCTAACAAGGGAAACAGGAGGGAGTGTCATAACTGTCTTTTCCCAGATGTGTACACATAAACACAGGGTTAAATGGAAGTGCCACACTGACTTCCGGTCCCTCACTCCATTTTATTGAGTCCCCGCACACTGTGAAAAGATTGGGCAATATTTTCCAACACTTTGCCAATAGCCAACCCAACCATCTATTGGGCAATATTTTCGTATTTTGCCCAACCGATGGTCAAGATTTACCCAACAAGTCGGATACCGTAGTCGGGCAGTTGAAGGGTCATATCTTTGCCCAAATTTTGGTCAAAATACAAAACAATTATGCACGTATGAAGTAGGGTTCTTACGTTTACCAATACCATTGGGCAAAATATTGCCCCAAAAATGGTTAGGTTGACTATTGGCACAACGTTGGGCAAAGTGTTGAAACTATATTGCCCAACCTTTTCACAGTGCATGTTTGCTCTAACACACATATATTGTTCATAAAAGCCCCCACACATCCACTAAGTCTTCCAATTTCTTCGTCTTGTTCAACATCTATTTCGACCATCCCTTCTTCCTCTTAAATCATTTATTTGCTTCATTCTACCTTTTTATGTCTACATCATCAATGTTCCTCAAATTCTCTTGTACATTTTGTCATAATAATGTATCTCATAATTCTCTCTTTAGTTTTACAAGCTGTACAAAATAAACGTATTTCATAGATCTTATGATATTCCGAAAGTTTGCTAGCCTGAATTTGTTTCCAGCATGTAACTTTAATAGTCAGTCCAAAACCACATTCAAGTTTAAAGGGCAATTTAACTATAAAAGAAAGCAGACAAATCAGAGAAGCGGACAGAAGAAAGTTTGAATGAAATCTGACAAAACATTAGAGAATTTTCCAATTTATTTCACAGTTGTAATCACGTTGCGTATAGGCAATACAAATTGGCTGTCACTCACGTAGCGCCGGACAACTTTCAAATTTTTTGCAACACAACAAATGAGTAAGAACGTCAATTTGTCAAACTACAAGATTGGGGGTCTATGTTTTTAAAGAGGAACTATAATAAAATGCCATTCAAAACGTATTTTTAGTCAGAGGCGGTGCTCGTGTAGGCGCCATTTTACTTTCAAAAGTGCCCCTTTCCTTTAGTAAATTCCCCGTTTCCCTCTCTTAGAAGTTAGAGTGTCCCATGTCAGGTGCCAAAAGTACCTCTTTCTTCTACCTCTGATAAGTGCCCCGTTTACTTTGACACGCGTCCCTTTTGCGTTCTAAGTCCACTACCTTTTTGGAATAACATTTTTTTTATAAATGCTCCATTTCCACCTCAATAAGTGACCCTTTCCAAATCTGATAGGTTCCCTTTTTACTTTTTGATATGTGCGTTTTCCCTTCTTAGCCCAAGTGCCTCTTTTCAGCTCTGATGAGTGTCCCTTATTATGTATGAGAAATGCCCTTCTTTTGTATCCTGTTTACTTTCTCGGGTGCCCCTCTTCCTATAAGTGCACCTGTTTTGAGTCGCTTCACAGGGGAGAAGGTACTTACGGGAAATTCAGATATTATTGATACTTTTTTTACATCAAATTTATCAATTTATTTCACACGTTCTCGCATCTGTTTCTCTCATCTCTTGCGTTGAAAAATGAAATTATTACTAAGGTTGGATTACTATTTAATTAATGCGACTCTTTTGCAAGAAAAGCTCTTTCCACTGTGCGATTTATAAAATTGATGTAAAATTCAGACTGAATTCGATGTTAATCAAAATTTATTTGGTAATCAAAATAAAAGTATTTACAGTACCTCATGAAAGTCTTGGTGGCTACCGTATTGTTCTTTATTGTATTATATCCGGAAAACAGAAAAATTATCTACACGTAGAGGAAGGTTCAAAGTGGTGCTAAATTTTTAGGAAGATGGGAGATCGACTCGATCACAATAAACATTATATCTGTATTAGAACCCGGATGACATTGCATATATAATAGTGTTACAACATTACTATGGTGCACAAGCTCCCTCTATAGCATAACAACTGCTGCCCCTTTTATACACACTTGTGCCCCCCCCCTCCCCTGCAAATAATCTCGTAGACACTAGAGATTTTATATTTTGTTTTGTAAAGACATGTCATCAACACATATATTTGTACTATATAAAATGTCGTATTACTAACCATAGTTTTGTTTCAATCCAATTCAATACATCATTGGAATTTATGAATAACATACATACATGTACATGGAATAATACATTGTAACACAAAATAATAGAATACATGTACATGCATCGGTACAAAAATAATCAAAATTGCTTGGTAGGTAGCAGCCAGAAAGGAACTGACCTTTATAAGTGGCCGACCCAAGGAAAATATAATCAGTTCAATGTATACAAGATTATAATGACATGACAAAAGACAACATTTCTACCACAAATAAAAAAAAAACATCACAGTGCATGTCATAAGTGTACAGATCAATGACATGGGAAAAAAGGTTCTAATTTAAATCGATATTTGCAAGAATAAATTTAAGTTATTTTGTTTTAATTCCTTTTTATGTTTGTTTTGTTATCCAGTTTGAAATATTTGCTTGTCATTATCTTGGTTAGAAGCCGAGTTGATAAACCTTCTGAGATATCTTTTTTTTAAACAGACTTCTTCTGTTAAAAGGGCGGGTAGGGGTCCTTCTTTCAACGAAATATTATATTACTCAGAATTTGTCAACGTACATGCTTTTTAAACCAGATGAAAAGAGTCTGGTCGCACATATCAACCCCGCTCTTTATACGGGCCCGAAGACAGTGGTATAATACAGTGCAAGAAATGGGGAGTCATCCACTATTTTCAGTGGAATATATAGAGTCTATCAGGAGTGCAGAAAGCGATCTCTGCTGATCGATACTGCTGGAGATAGTACCAATCTCTCTCAGGCTTCTCAATCGTGTAGTCAGTGACGAGGTTCTGGATATGCTTCAGCTCGTTAGTGTACTCATCAATGCTGACCAAACCTATATCGTAATTCAACGAGGCTATCAGGATTGTATTCCATTGAGACACAGCAGCGTATGGGAAATCACCTAATTTCGCTAATTCATATTTTACAACACCTTGTTTGTCAATCAATCGTATTTTACTACCAAATGAGATGATCATGTATTCATTATAACTAGTAATCTGCTCAGGTTCATACCCCTCACATGGTATCTCCCTGATCGCCTTCCCACCTGCTAGTGAGAATACCTGTATCTTCATGGCTTTCCTGTAGCTAACATAGATCACATCATTACCGTCTACAGTGAGGTCAGCAAATCCACCTTCGTCTTGACTCAGAGTCTCAAACACTGCATTCAACTTTGTTTGCTCTGGTGTGTACAGTGTGATATTGTTTGAGCGATTAAGTACAACATACCGATCATCAGAGAGGAACCCTACTCCACGAATATCCTCATGTTTGAGAACTGTCTGCTGGTGCTGACCATCAGCAGAGAAGGTCTCCACGCCACCACTACCATATCCCACTGCCATCCTATCGTCTGGTGTACCAACCATGCCATTCATGCTATTCTTAGTGGGCAAAGCGATGTTCTTTCCAACTGCATTTACGATCTTACCGAGACCTAGCTCGTTCATTCCAGCGTTCCTCTTAAAATTGACACTTTTTCCTTTCCTGCTCGATTGGATCGGCTGCTTGTAGTCAGGATCTTCTTGTTTCAAGGCCTCTTGTAAGTCTTGACATAGAGTGTCGTGTGCAGCCAAAGCATCCATATCTAACGGTATTTTTGTCCTTTTGGTTACCATGTCAGCTATGGTGGTCAAGTTTGTGATGTGCTCCTGAACAGATTTCTTCATTTCGTCCAGTTCCTTCTCTACTTCTTCGGTTCTACCCTTGACTTCACTGATGAGGATTTCTTTCTTCTCTGTCACCTGCCGGACTAAATCTTCATATGCTTCGTTGATATCATCTGAACACTGCTTCTGAACATTGCTCACACGCTCCTTCTGTTCATCAATGAAATCAACGTATTTTTGAAAGCAAGAGCGTTTATTGTCCGCCTTGGATTTGAGGTCCTCGTTACTCTTCATATGGTTGCTTTCATAAACAGCTGCCTCGATGACCCGATGTCCTTCGTTTGTATGCTCCATTACAACACACTTGAAGCAAGCAAATCTTCTGCAGTCGGAACAGAACCACCCCTCATCATCTTTGGGGTGTTTCCTACATTTATGGTATCTACGTACTGACACATTGCCTGATACGATCTCACTCATGGCTAAGACATCGTGACTTATGAAGTCTGGCCACTGAGAGTGTTTGTTTTGACAAGTGCTACAGAAATACTTGCCACAGTCTTGACAGTAGACAACAGCTTGGGGTTTGTCCTCGGATTTACAATTCGTGCAAAACTGGTATTGATTCTTTACGTCCTCTATGAGAGACTTCAAAGCTAGATTTGCCGGTAATTTGCTGACATCTTGGTTGGGGACCTGAGTTTCAGCTCTGCAGACAGGGCATCGGAGCATCTGTTCGTTACCATGGCATTCCAAGAGGTTGTCCAGACAGGTCTTGCAGTAGGTGTGAGAACAAGACAGGATCTTGGGATCGGTGAAGGTATTCAGACATACAGGACACTCCAGACTCTGAGCAATAGCATTCTTTAATGCATCAGCCATGATTCGAATCCTACAGGAATACGAGATAAAAGGAAAGGAAAACACATAACGATTAGATATTGAGCTTTGATTAATCAGATCGTATTAAAGAGGGAGTGTTTATCATTTTTCTCACGCCTTTCCCCACATAATAAAAAGGTACGAAATATAATATTCCGTTATATCTTGATAGAAAATAATAATAATAATAATGATATTAACTAAACATTTTTATATAGTGCATAACCCATAGGCAAACTGCATGTATCTATGCATTTTAAGAAAAAGAAAAAACAATGCACTGGGTTCATGATTCTGATTATTTATGAAGTGGTGAAGAGATATGTCTTCAGAGAATTGATAAAGGTTTTATAGGATCCCATACATTTCAGTTGTTCAGGCAATTTGTTCCACAAAAAAAGCGGCTGCATATGAAATAAACCTTCCCCGTATGACTTTGTCATGGTTTGTGGATCAAAAAGCAGAGACTTGGAACTGGAACGTAGCATTCTATCTGGTTTATATTGAGTTAGCAATTCAGTTGATGTAAACATTGGTAGGTTAATAGTACTTTAAACTGGATATAATAATTCATGTTCTTCATCAACTGAATGTAGTAATGACAAATGAATTAAAAAAAGATGTTTCCTTTGTCGCTCTTCAGTCAATGTACATTGTAGTTGGGGAAAATGATGATAATACTAATAATACTAATAACAATGATAATAATGATGATGATGATAATGATGATTATGATGATGATGATGATGAGGATAATAATAATGATGATAATAATTATATCAACGAAAAATAACAATAATCATCATAATAAATGATGATGCCTTGTTCATCAACTCGATCCTCATCAGTAGACATACTGTTCTCCTCGAGGGCCCTGCATCATTACCTTCGGCTTTAGGTCCATGCTTTTAATAGCTAACCTACCAATATAATGTGCTAATATTACAAGCATTCACGGATTTGTTTTCTACCGAATACCTATTAACTATACACCTAGGATTGGTGGAGATTAACCAATGGAAAATTACAAAAGGAAACTAGGGCCGTGGTGGGACTCGAACCGCGAACCCCGTGATTCACAAACAAGCAACCTATCACTAGAATCACCTTTTAAAACAACCGTTATACTGTATTGTTGTGTCGGTGGCAACACCAATAAATCCTTTGGCTTTCCTATCTGTCTCTACATTTATATGACATTTTTGTTGTGGTTGTATTCTAAATGTTTTTACTTTACCTTGCACACTATGTTTTGTATTTTATATGTTTTTATGATGAATGAAGTAAATGAAGAGCAATCAACCAAACCTCTTCATGTATCGCAACTAATCATGCTAGTAGAAATGATATAATAATCTGACGTATACAAGTCATACTATACATTGCATCAGGTGAAGCCCATGGTTAAAGGTAAACCATGGAAAACAAAACAAAAATTTAAACGTGAGTCCCAGAAATGCAGTTTACCATTCACATTTTAGCACTTTGTACATCGGAAAATAATCATTACATTATTTCTTCATTAATCTGAAACCAAGTGACATATATTGATGATGATGTCATACCATGAGTCACAATAATAGCTGCGCATGCGCTGAACGAAATAAACTAGCTTTGGAATCTTATACCAAGAGTATCAAACGTGTTTTAATTATTCTGTCTCGAGTATTCATCTGTGTACATTTGAATAACAGTACATAACACCAAGTATTCCAAATTCATTAAATTCGAACACAAAAAATATGATCCGTGAACTACCTTCAGATATGATGCAGATAAACATACCTTACCCTATCCGATGAAATTTACAACTTGTTATCAATGGAAAGCTGAATGAACATAGAATACAAATATAAAGGAATTCATAATATTTTCCCTTTCAGTATTGCACAAAAGCGAATTGAAACCTTATTTTCCGCACCTCTACAAATTACAGGTCAACAGGGGCCAAATTTGCCGCAGTTACAGTGACGACGTAATATGTGCACCCGATCGGCTCGCCTATAATAAATAGCTGAGGCGATGAGCCGTGCAAAGTCATTGTGAATATGCGTTCTCCATAATAGGCCTGTTATCATCAGCTCGAGATTGCCAAATAGCCCGCTATTTCTGATTTGGGAAACAATCCCAAAGTTATAAATCGCGCCTTCATCAGCTCGAGACTATAGACCACGAAACTTTAAACTCGAGCTCGAGAAATTACATGTAGCTCGAGATATTTTGCTCAGCGTTCGCGCATATTGCGAGTCTTCGGGCTGGTGAAGTCGTACCGGACAAATAGCGGGATATTTTGCCAAATAGCGAGATATTTTGCCAAATAGCAGGATATTGTGCAAACTTGCCCAAGATATCTATAGGGATGATTATTTCGACCAAATATCCCTCTAATCCCAACTTCGGGCTGATGAACACGCAAATTAACTGGATAATTTGCGATCGGGATAGTTCATACAGCAGGATAGTTGGCAATCTCGAGCTGATGAAAACAAGCCAAGATGATGTCAATTCTATTCGATAGCTAGTTTTTTTAGGTCGACAACTCCCGATTTTCAAAGCTTCAGATTTCGAGTTTTCAGAGAGCTGTTACTCGTCTGACAGGCACTAAAGTATCATATGATTCGTAATACTGTACTCTTTTAAGCTTTCCTTTGATATATAATTCATCTATTTCATTTTCACTTCCGACACGGTTTTTTACATTGAGTTTAGGCTTTGAACAACTCTAAAACTTAGCAGGAAACATTTTGTATTAATTTTAAAGCTTATGAAGTATCAAAAGCAGTATTATAAACATGTACTTATGCACACGGGAATATACTATTAAACAAAAATTATCAAGCATGAAAAGAGGAAATTATATTGCTCGAGTTTTTCAGAATCATTAGCTGAAATGTTAGCTATGTTTAAAATCGCATAATAACCTTAAATATTTCCCATGTGTATTCATATCTACACAAAATGTAAGAATAATAAATGATGGCAACTTTGTTATTAAAAATCACAATAACATACCTAAATCGTCACATTTTCCCGTAGGACAAACAAACACTGAGAAGTTATACTCATGGACGATATCAATACTGTTATCAATTTGCTCACAATTTTATAGTGCGACAAACGTAACTTCCGGGTTCACGATCAAGTACATTAAACTCTTATGGTCTGGTTTCAAAGCTCCGTTTGGTTTATTTTTATTTTTGTAAACTGTTTCTTCATGGTTCAACAAGCTAATATTAATCTCTAAACACCCGTCATTCTCATCTTAGACATTTGAACCCAGCCCCAACTATTTCAGTCTAATGAAAATGATAATTTTACAAATCAGATGCAAAAAAAGTTTCAAAAGTGTCTGGGAGGTGGCCTATAATGACATGAATATATACGAAAATGTAAACGAAAATATTGCGAAAATTCACTGCATTTCTTTTGGAAATGACATACGTGTACATTAAAAATTACTCACGTCTTTTTCTGTCAGTACGTATCGGTCTAGGTTTTATATGAAATCAGTATACTCTCTGCCTTTACAATGTAGTGGTTCACTGATCATACGTGGTAATATCTATATGTTTGTATTTAGCTTGTCATTCTAGTTTTAGTGATTGGGAATTCCCAGTAACCTTTGACCGACAGGCAGATCGAAATTGATGAACACCAATTAATTGATGAACACCAAATAACAGATCCAATTAAAATTTCAAAAGCTTTTAATGAGTATTATATAGATGTAGGCCCTAATTTAGCAGCTAATATTGATTCAGGTGACATGGACTACAATAAGTCCTTGAATTTCCCACGTGAAAATTCCTTATTTCTTACTCCAACCAATGATTATGAAATTATTAATGTAGTTCAACACCTTAATTCTACAAAATCTAGTGGCCATGATAGTATAAGTGTTCACTTATTGAAACAAATAATCTTTAATATGGTAACCCCCCTGACATATATATTTAATTTATCAATTTCAACGGGTGTATTCCCACATTTGCTTAAAATCGCTAAAGTGATTCCTATTTATAAAAAGGACGACTCCTCAGTAATAAGTAATTATAGGCCAATTTCATTATTACCAAGTATCTCTAAAATTCTCGAAAAAATAATATATAAAAGACTTAACACTTTCTTACAAAAAAATAATTCATTGATTCCTAACCAGTTCGGATTCAGAATTGGTCATTCTACCGATTACGCAATTCTGCATATGTATGATAAAATAATTGAGGCTTTTGCGAACAGTGAACATATTGTTGGAGTATTTATGGACTTGTCAAAAGCTTTCGATACGATTGATCATAAAATATTAATACATAAATTACAATACTATGGCGTAAGAGGTCAAGCTCTTTCATGGTTCACTAATTATTTACAAGACAGACAACAATACGTATCTTTCCAAAATCATGAATCAACAAAATTAACAATTAAATGTGGAGTACCGCAAGGATCTATATTGGGTCCATTGCTATTTATTATTTATATAAATGATATTATTGAAACCTCTTCACTTTTAAATTTTATCATCTTTGCTGATGATACGAGTATTTCTTATTCCCATAAAAACTTTGATACGCTCATAACGCGGTTAAACTGTGAATTAATGAAAATTTCTAGGTGGTTTAAATCTAATAAATTGTCATTAAACCTTAGTAAAACAAATTTCATTCATTTTAAACAGACCAACGTACATGATATGAGAAATTTTAATATTGAGATTGATGGCTTGCCTCTCATTGAAAAACAATCTGTTAAATTTTTAGGAGTCTCTATTGACTCTCATCTAAATTTTAATGAGCATATACGTAATATACATACATCAATATCAAGGAATATTGGAATACTGTATAAGTTAAAACAAATTCTTTCTGAAAGATCTATGATTATATTATACAATTCTCTAATTTTATCACATGTGATTTATTGTAGTATTGTATGGGGTAATTGTAGCTTAACAAGAATTAATTCCTTATTTTTGCTTCAAAAGAGAGCGATTCGCATGATCA